AAAACTCTCAAAATTGGCTTTCTTTTCAATTTAGAAATTCAGTGTATTTCTTCTCACTTGGCATCCAGTCTCTTCATGCTGCCAATTCCCAATTATCCAGCAGCTGATTATCCAGTGTGTTGGATAGCCAGGCCCCCTGTATTCCCTTTAGCATATCATGTTTGCTGCCTGCTAGAAATCCCTCTAATCACTGCTGGTCAGTGGCTCAGCTGTGGTTTTAACCAGCAGTTCTCAGCGATGGCTATTTTACCCCCAGAAACTGATCGGCAATGCCTGGATATAGTTTTGGTTGTCACAACTTGGACAGGGGTTGCTACCGGCATCTTGTGGGTAGAAGCCAGCGATGCTCCTCAACATCCTGCCCAGCCCAAGACAGTCCCCTAAGCAAAGATTTCATCCAACTTAAAATGTCAGTTGTTCTGAGGTTGAAAAACTATACCCAAAGTCCTCATGTTGATGGGAAGAATAACATAATAATTATTAAGAATATGATCTTTAGCATCTGGGGGGATTGAATGAAAGCCTGCCACTTCTTACCTGTATGAGTTTCCTGTTTCAGCTTCCACTTGCTCATCTCTAAAATGCATATAATCATATCACATTAAATGTTTTTGTGTCCAAAATGTCCCTTAGAGCTTAACAGCAGTTCAAAATGATACCTTTCATTACAACGTAATATCAAACAATATATTAACACGTATAGGAATATGGTTATTAATTTTTTTCTTCCCTGCTCTTTGCCTATCTCCTCCAACAAATCTTAAAAATGTTTCGGTTTTCATTCATTTGCTGATTCAGCCTATATGCAGTAAGCCAGTACTGTGTTCCTTGCTCTGACTCGGCACTGTGGACCTCTCACACTCGACAATACTGTGCTCTCCACCACTAAGAAAAATTTATGCCGAGAAAGGAGAGAGACCACGACAGAAATAATCGTGCTTACAGGGGACACTGTGATGACAGCAGAACTGTAACAGCTAAAAAGGGAGGAAAGGGTGTAAAGGTTGAGACAATCAGGTAGGTGATAAATGTTTGTCATCATAAGATATAAAGGATGGATAAAGGTAGGGTGACAGATAATACCAGAAAGAGATAAACCAAAGATGGAAGAGTGGTAAGAAGAAGGAGGCATATGTAGCAAATAATAGATATATAGTTATAGCTATATGTACACATATTCACACATATGTGTATCTATGTGTTTATGCATATATGTGTGTATATATATATATACACATATGAACACACAGATATATATATATATATA